CCGGCTCTTACACAGTACCTGTCTGCTGTAAGCGTTACACTCTCCCCCGCTTAACTCGCCGTCCCCAGCGAAGGGCTATCCCATCCCAATCCTAACACCAATGTAACGCGACAGGGTTCAGGTGGGCGCCCTTGCCGCATTAGGTCGGCCCCACACTGTTGGGGCTCGAACCCAGGACTCCCGCGTCACTCAACAGGGACCCAGCCCGGTGAGCTAAGGAGAGATCTCTCGACAGCCCAGTAGCTGTAGTCCTGCTATCACAGGGAAGGGCATTGATGTCACTGCTCTGGTAAGCCGGCTCTTACACAGTACCTGTCGGCTGTAAGCATTACAATATTAATAATAATTACTTACGCTTAAATAGCACTTTTCTGGACACTCCACTCAAAGTGTTTTACAGGTAATGGGAACTCCCCTCCACCACCACCAATGTGCAGCATCCACCTGGATGATGCAACGGCAGCCATAGTGCGCCAGGACGCTCACCACACATCAGCTATCAGTGGGGAGGAGAGCAGAGTAATGAAGCCAATTCAAAGATGGGGATTATTAGGAGGCCATGATTGGTAACGGCCAATGGGAAATTTGGCCAGGATGCCGGGGTTACACCCCTACTGTTTTCGAGAAATTCCCTCGATTTTTACGTCTCAGCCGAAGGATGGCACCTGTTTACAGTATAGTGTCCCTGTCACTATACTGGGGCATTAGTGAGCGCCCCCTGCTGGCCCCACTAACACCCCTTCTATATTGTTACAATTTTAAGTGATTTAGAAATGTCTTAGATTTTAGACAAAGTTTATGACATTTGGAAGAGTAAATACTTCAAAGTCAAAGGAGAGAGGATGTTTGCTGAGGTCTGGGGGTCCCTTGAGCAGAAACAATAGTAAAGTTTATCTTCGTATGCCTAGGCAAGTTGTGGATTAATGATTGCAAAGGAGCAGGGCAGAGAGACAGTATAAGTTCACCTTAAGAGAGACAGAGGAGGAGACAAGGAGGAAGGAAGAAGCAAGGAGAGCAGGGACAAGGAGAGAAGTCCGCAGGAGTTGGGACTTAAAGCTTGCGCCAGGCGAGAGCCCTTACTGTACTTCTTGGGCATCTGAACCAAACCTGCCTGAGGCTAAGTATTTGAACCTTGTTAGAGAGAGCATGCTTTTCTGGTACTTCAGTTAGAAACATCTTTCCTGATTAGGGTGCATTTTATTGATAGGGATATAGGCTCCCATTTATTTTGTGGCATCCAGGGTGCAGAGAGAGAGATTTAACTGCACACATCCAGCACACATCCAGCTACACATATCTCGGTCTCACCATCAGCTCTTCCGGGAGTTTTGACCTGGCAGCGAAGGCACTGAGGGAGAAGGCACTCAGGGCTTTCTATACAATAAGAAGGAGGCTCTTCAACATCAACCCACCAACAAGAATCTGGCTCCAAATATTTGAAAGTGTAATCCAACCCATTGCCCTATACGGCAGTGAAGTTTGGGGTGTGACTATCTGATATCTTTGGGGAGAGAGTTCCAGAGCTGAGGGGCAAAACAGGAGAAGGTCCTGTCACCCATAGAGTGTAGACAGACTTGGGGGACAGTATGGAGACCAGAATTAAAGGAGCGAAGGGTACGAGATGGGGAGTAGGGCGATAATAGATCAGATAGGTACTGAGTTGCCAAGCCATGCAGAGCCTTATAGGTGAGCGTGAGGATTTTGAAGTCGACACAAAACTTGGCAGGCAGCCAGTGCAAGGACTCCAGGATAGGAGTAATGTGATCACTTGCACTGGACCTGGTCAGGATTCTGGCTGCCGAACTTTTGACATACTGGAGTTCGTTCAAAGTGGATTTAGATACCCCAGCGAGTAGAGCATTATAGTAGTCAATTTGGGAGAAGACAAATGTGTTGATGTGTTGAATGTTTTTACAAAGAAGTTAAGTCGGTAAAAACTACACATATATATATAAAAGGTAAAATATATTGATTACTTAAGAGTTCACTTCCTTTGCTTTGACAAATGTAAGGCAGCTTGGGTGCACAAAATTACTTTGACAAGTTACACAATTAGTTGAGTGGTCTCTATTTGCATAGATAGTGATTCATACCACTGAGACAAAATACAGCAGCCTATGTAGGGTTCCACATTCAAAAAGGGAAGTTCAAGCAAAGATTCATCTTTGAAGACCAAGCAACTTTAAATCCACTCAAGGATTTGTATAGAAAGACACAGATTGAGATATGACAACAATTTCAAAGACATTGCATATGCCTTTGAGCACACCTGAGTTAATCATTAAAGATGTTACAGTAGAGTAGTGTTTATTGTCATATGCACAAGTGCAATGAAATTCTTATTTGCATGTATGCTCCTATACAAGACATCAAGGAAACATCAAAATCTAAAAACAGTGGCAGCAACAACAAGCTAAATAACATACATCTTAGAGAAAAAAAAACATCAGAATGAGCCTGTGGTAAGAGTAGAGTTCAGTAATTTGACAGCTTAAGGGAAGAAGCTGTCTCTTAGTCCAGACGTTTGTGCCTTTATACTCCTATAACGCTTACCAGAGAGAAGGGGGGGAGAAAAGTGAGGAACCATGATGACTGGTGTCCTTAACGATACTTCCAGCCTTCCTGAGACAGTGAGTATTAAAAATGTTTGAAATAGAGGGGAGCTGTACTACAATGATGAACTGGGCTGACCTGATCATCCCCTGTAACAGCTTCTGGTCAGACAACAGTGGTGGTGTGGTGGCTCTGTGACTAAGGTTCTGCGTCTGTGACCGGAAGGTTGCTGGTCCACATCTTGTGGCCGCCACAGGAATCCTACTCCATTAGGCCCCCGAACAAGGCCTTTAACCCCAACTGCTTCAAGAGCTTATATTTTCTGTCTTAATTCCACGTTAGCACACTCTCAATAGCACACCTGTAAAATGTGGTAAGGACATTTGAAGGCAGTCCAACTTTTTTCAATTGTCTAATGAAGTAAAGGCATTGTTGTCCCTTCTTTGTAGCTCCAGTTACACGCTGGGACCACATTAAGTTGTTATCGATAAAGATACCCAGGAACTTGAAGCTCCTACCCATTTTTACAACCACCACATTGATGTGAATAGGTGTGTGGTCCCCACCCTGCTTTCTAAAATCAATTATAATAATAACAATTGCTTACACTTATATAGCGCTTTTCTGGACACTCCACTCAAAGCACTTTACAGATACACCACCACCAATATGTAGCATCCACCTGGATGATTCGACGACAGCCATAGTGCACCAGAACGATGACCAGCTCTTTGGTTTTACTGACATTGAGGGAGTGGTTATTGTCAGTGCACCACTCCACCAGTTTCCTGACCTCATCCCTGTAGGCTGTCTCATCATTAGCAGTGATTCGGCCAATGATGGTAGTGTCATCAGCATATTTGAAGATCGAATTGGAGCTGTGTCTGGCCACACAATCGTGGGAAAACAAAGAGAACAACAGGGAGCAAAGTGCACAGCCCTGGGGGGCACCTGTATTGATAGTCTATGTAGAAGAAAGTTGTCCATCTACCCTCACAGTCTGTGGTCTGCCAGTCATGAAATCTATAATCCACCTGCACAGAGAGGTGTTGATGCCCAAATCATTCAGCTTCCTGACCAGTCTGGAAGGAACCATAGGGTTTAATGCAGAGCTGTAATCAATGAATAGCATTCTGATGTATGTGTCTTTGTCTTCCAAAGGAGTCAGAGCAGTGTAAAGAGCCAGGGAAAAAGCATCGGCAGTGGATCTGTAATGGCGGTATGCAAACTGCAGGGGGTCAAAGCACTCAGGTACCATTGTGTTAATGAGGATAATAATGCACCTTTAATTGTGTTGAAGTTGCATTATACCATCTAGACACTGCCTTTGTCAGGCTTTCCCTTCAAACCAAGCAGTTGAGCAAGGACGAAACTTGATAGGAATGCCACCATGAGGCCAATAGCAACTTTGAAAAAGCTACATAGTTCAATGGTTGAGATAGGAGAAAATGCCCACAACTCAACAATATCCCAATGACTCAAAGCTAGCCTGTTTGGCAATACAGTGAGAACCGCAAAACTCTGGGAAGGTTTGGTTTGGAAAGTCAGTAGAAACCTATCCACAGAGACTCTAAACTGTCATTGCTATCAAGGGTGCTTCCATTGGTTGTGTAAAAAGTTACACAATTGGCATATTTTAACTTTAACATTTAACTTCTTTTAATAATGGGTTCTGACTGAGATTTCAAGTTTTGATTAAAATATTAACTTTAAAAAATGTTTAAAAGCTAGATATGATCCACCTATGGACATGCATTCAAAACAAAACTTAAAACAGTGCATGATAAAAATATGTGCATCACTCCTAGAAATTGTATCTGAATGTTTTCATACTTCCTACACAAGATACATTCTATTACATGTGCTTTGGGCAATTCTGTGGTTTGGTTTTTGGTTAGATTGTCTTTTGCTATGCAGGCAAAACCAAAATCAGTTTTGAGACATTTTAAAGGAATATGCTAAGGAATATTATGGAAGGATAATGTTATTCTCCACATTTGATCAAATGTAAAGCCAGTTTGATGTTGCTTTACCCTTCCCAGCAGGAAGCTTTGCAAAGCCTTAAAGATCAGGTCAAAGCTAATTCCATGCTGAAAGAAATTAAAACGCTCTGACTGTGGAACCTTCTAGAGGAGTGTGACTCATTAGTGACACATCAAAAGTAGTCTCCACAGAACAATCATTGTGCTTTTTTCTTTTTATTATTCAAAGTTCAATTGATCCGTTTCTTTGCAGAATGTGTCAAATTTCTTTGACACAGCTCCTGACTATTGTTCTTACAAAAGTAAAAAGTTCATGAGCACATCAAATAATAGTCAGAGAGAACTAGATACTGTAGATTCTTGGAACATATCTTCTAGTTTGATTATTCACATCTTTCATGCTAGGGATTGAAAGAATGATGCTCTGATTTAAAGTACAGCAGTTTCAGATAATGCTATGCTTACTCATTCAAGTGCTGAAACCTGTCCTGCCAGTTTGCAGCACGAGCCACATTTCCATTCTTGTCCAGGAGCTTAATTCCAAAGAAATCCAGCATCACAGTGTATGCCAGAAGAAAGCGTCTTTTGGCTTCCCTGGTATTTTGAAATTCCTATTAGATTAAATGAGAAACAGGAGAGTATTAATGGCAGTGATAAATTTATTTCATAACTAAAGTGAACCAAGATGAGACATAAAAGGTCAGCATGCTAAGTAATGTCTTCTTTCCCATGTATCTTATTTATTTCTACAATCCTTCCTTTTCCTCATGACACCTCTCTTGGAGCACAAGCTCAACTGTACCACACACTTGTTGAAAACACTACTGAATAGTATTTAGAATTTATTTTAATGTGTCTATGTTGTCAATTTCCTTGGTGTGCTAAGGATCCTTGTAATTTTTTTGTAAAATCTAATTTTTTACCTTGATCTCATCTTGAGCTAGTTCTTGGGCATGAAAATTCAAGCCTTGTTCTCTCAATGGAAAAAGCCTGTAAAACAGAAAACAATTTTTTGGCTTCTTACTTTGTCCTATTAATCAGATTCTATATCACAGAAATACTATGATTTTTGTAGAGTTTATAAATTTCAAAACAAGGTAAATTACTTAAATAGGACAGGAGAATCCTTTATGCCTTTATATCAAACACTCTACATTAAAACACATATACATAAAGTAAATGCATGATCTGAATTTACTTTACGTATGTTTTTTTTTTGGCCCCGACTAGCTCTGTTGGTAGAGCATGAGACTCATAATTTCAGGGTAGTGGGTTTGTGTCTAAAAGCAATCATACATTTGTTAACTGTTAACTAAAAATTAACTGTTATGAAAAACAAATCAGCTTGATCATTCTTGTTTAAAGTAAAGTAAAGTTTAAAGCACAGAGAAATTTGTAAACACGAGTTGCAATTACTGCATATAACTTACGTTTTTCTAAGTTATGGCTTCGCTATGTATTATTTTTCCGTCCATCCATTTTCAAACATTTTCAAATTGTTTCTTCCACTTCAGGGACACAGGGAAGCCAGAGGCTATCCTGGCAAGCAATTGGTCCAAGGCAAGATATATCCTGGATGTGATGTCAAACCATCACATAGCAGACACTTAGACAGAAACTCACACCAGGGCCAATTTTCCCAGCAGCCACTTAAACCACTAGTATTTTTTTGTCCCTTGGAGGAAACCCACACAACCATGGGGAAAATATACAAACTCCACACAGATAATACCCCAGGTCTAGAAATAAAACCTTTTCTGTAAATTATTAGCTTTAATATACCAGAATCATGATCTTAAAACTATTGTAGGAGATGGGAGGGAATCTTATCTCATTTATTGAGTCTGTGTGCACTAGTTACATTAGGTTGTTTACAATTTTGTACATGCTATGTTAGAGAGCAGTAGACAAAGAAAAAACTAATTTGAACAAAATCTGAACAAAATTCAGTCTCCAGAAAGCTCTGGCAATTAATTGCCATCCTTGATCACCAGACCAGTTGACAACTGGAAAACAATTGGTTTTGGAGCTGTAAACAACTTACAGTTGTCTGTCTTCTGCTCTGCACTGTAAAAGAGGGATAAAGTTTTGGTTTTGGAGCTGTAAACAGCTTAGCTACCTGGCTGGTTATAGAGAGGGACACCAGGAAAAATCTCGTTAGCACTCAGAAGGAGCAAGGTTTTTATCTTTTATGGAACAAGTAATAGGTTTATTCCATGCTGAAAAGAGAAGAAAGAAAATACAACGTTTTGGACGTGGAGCCTTCTTCAGGTGTCAGCATGGAATAAACCTATTGCTTGTTCCTTTGGAGCCTACACATGTTGATGCAGCTACCCACCTGAACTACTTTTATCTTTTATGTTCTGTTTCCCAAGACATGTATTAAAAAGATCACTTCTGTGTTATATAAATTACAAATGCTGTAATGTGTTGATTGCAATACTTAAACTCAAAGCCAAGATTACTTCTAGTGTGTGTGTGTACTAATTAAAATGATTCAATACATTATGAAAACTGAATAGAAATAAAATGACAAATACCCCATTAATGTAGTTTCATCTATATTTTAAAATATGTCTACACTACATTCACCCTTGTGACAAAATCTGTTTACTCATATATCACAAGAACACCAACATAAAGTATCAAATCAGAACACAAGAACTGGAGTCTTGCTCCTATACATAACAAAAAAAAACTTTCATTAGTATTTAAAAACATGTTTGTCTGGAAAATAGTCTGGGCTTCTTCAAGAAGGATCTGATTTCGATTTTCTGATCACAAAGGTAATAACACAGAGACAAGCATGATGTCTGAAGTAGACCAATTCAGTAGAATTCAAAAGCTCTTACTGAACAGCAGCCAGATGATTATTTCAGTTATTTGTCCCATGTTTTCTTCCTACCTGTAACTCAAGAGGACAAAAACGATAAAACAACTATACCAACTTATATTGAAAACCAAAGTGCTCACCATTGTATATAGGTGTGGTTATGCTCCAGCTTTTCATAGTCACCTTTCCACTTGTTGAGAATTTCTTCAACAAAAATGCCTGTAGTGTTGAAAAGTACAAATACTTTGATTAATAATGTAAATCATGAGTACTTTGAAATCTGTGTAGGAATGCAAAGTGCAAGTACATTACAGTATATAGCAACCTCAACATTAAGCACCCCCTTCATTATAGTTGCAGCAGCATATTCCTGCAGGCGACCAAGCAGACATGTAGACTGCAGACTGTGCTTTTCTCTTTAACTTCTAGAGATTTTGCTGAAAACATCATATGTGTTTTTGATACTGTCAAGATCTAATTTATAGGATACTCCTTTGCTAAAACAAGGATTTCTTGCCTTTTTTTACTGTCTGTATTTCTAACCGTCAATAATCCAGTTTGACACCATTTTGAACAAATGTGAACTTTATTCTAATTTTTTCTAAAGAAAATCTATACTCCCATATAAGTGTGTGATGGTACAGCAAGGACTTATTCCTGACGTTTTCACACATTTTTCATTTCTCTTAGAGACTTAGGAAAAGTGAGCAATGCTACTATTGCTTATAACAACAATCTATATATAAACCTTATTGGCTGTCAGCAGCGATGAAGAGTCTAGTTTCATACATTTCCCAAATATTCTTAAAACACTAAAATGAAGACTGTACCACTCATAGATGAACACTTCAGAGTTATATCAATTTTGGGCTTTCACCTGAAAACACATGGTTTAGAATCCTGGTCAATGCTCAGCCCCGGGACAATCTTTTTCCAATTTGTGTACTGTGTCCACTTTTATGCTGTATATTACAGTATGTTAAATATTAAATTAATATTAAAAATGAAATTAGCGCTGCTTCACAATGCAAAATTACTCAGCTTGATATATAAAAAAGTGGTTCAGGTGGGTGGCTGCGTCAGCATGCGTAGGCTGCAAAGGAACAAGCTGAAAAGAGAAGAAAGAAAACACAATGTTTCAGCTGTGGAGCCTTCTTCAGATGTCACCTTCACACCTGAAGAAGGTTCCACAGCCGGAACGTTTTGTTTCTTTTCTTCTCTCTTCAGAGGTAAATGAAGATACATTTTTATATTTTCATAGGTGTGACACATTTTTGATAAGGAAAATAGTGGTACTTTGTATTTTGTAATTGTATACAGTATAGCTGACAAAAGTAAACTCTTTTACTTTTACAAAAGTAAACGCCATGTATGATGCCTGACAGCCCAGAGAAAGTGTTTCTTGGTTAGCTTCACCTACTGTACAATTTACTTTCTTTCTTCCCTGCTAATTTCAGTAAAAAGTAATTAGGACACAATTTTACTTCGGATGCTGATATGAAAACTATATATTTTACACATATATGGCTTTAAAACATACTGTATCATACTGTATACACAGTATATTTCTAAATTATGCTGATCATACTACAGTTCATCTGTGGATATGACTTCATGTGAGCAGTGGGAATTGTAGTCTTAATTTATGTAGTCTAAATTTACTTTATTTCTGTATGCAATTCACGTGACTGACATTTTAAAGGGGAACTACAGTCCCCGTTTCTCAGACCAGTTATTAAATCTCCGTAACAAAATAAATTCATTGACAGTATTGCAAAATTTTACAAATTACAAATTAAGCACAAAATCCTGAACTTTATGAAAGTACTACATGGTCTCCATTTTGTCGCTTTTGTCAGCTGGTGTCACCACAGGCTAGAGCAAGAATGTGCAAGAATCACGATACAAAGAGGCTCTTGCCACACACTAGTCATTGCATTGTGAAGACTAATGTAATGTAATGTACAGGTGATTCGGTAGACATTTCACCCCAGAAATGTTCCAATGTGATGTGTACGCAGAGTTAACAAGTAAGCGGTATTTGCTGGCAAAACCATCTCAAAGTCGAGAGCAATATTTCTATTGGATAAAAAGAGCCACATTTATAAGCCTGCTTCTTTACAATGTAATAGGGCAGAAGCGGATATTTTGTTCCCTTGACTGAATCACAGAATATGGCGCAGTGCATACCTGGAAATGTATTTTTTTTGGCTTGTACATTGTATTGGTTATACATATTACTGTGCACATTTTACTTTTATTGTGGTTTGAAATCCAATCACCAATGCCAATTCTTTCTAACCCTGGAACATAAAAATAGCATTGCATCGTTTCCCTTCAAAACTACACACTGTGAAGGACACAGACCATATCATCTCACAAGAAAAATGGAGATAGACCACCTTTAATCGCATAAACAATGCGCTTGTTTGAAAACAAATGTGTTTACAAAAGCAATACAATTATCACAACATTTACAGGATTTACAGTATATATATTGTGCTGTTTATAGTGTATACAGTATATTTTACATAATATATACCTACAGTCTCATTGGACATTTACATTAACAAAACAAAAAACATTATTGAGAGACAGGTAGTGTTGAATTCATGCAATGTATTACATTTATTTGTTTATTAAAATTACACTTCCCTGTAAATTGTTTTACAATCTGTAAATTTAAGTCAGAACAAATGCACTTGTGATATTACATTGCTCAATGTTCCCCACGGTGTTCTATAATCTTCAGTAGAACACAAAAAAGTATTTTAATACATTTTTTACAACTACTGTATGTTCATCAACACTTTCTCCCAGAACCCCTTAATTTCTACGTTGAGTTTTTGCTTTGTACTCTGTTCTGCCATCTTCCAAATATAATCTTTGAGGAAGTGCCAAACAATTAAGTAATGGTGGTGATGAACTTATGAATAAATAAAACCAGTAACATCAACACAGCTTGTTCATTTTTTTCCATTTGAAAACACTAGTACTGAACCTGTATGTAACAGTTTTCTCCATACCAAATCATATGTATGACACGCAATATTAAGCAATAAACAGTAGAATCACAATTATACTCTCTATTGTATTAACAGTTATAACAGATACAAATTTTCAAACAAACCTGATTTAAAAAAAAAACTAAAGTTATTATCCCTACTGTGTTTCACACCTGCATGTGAGATCATGGTGTGCACAGTGAGTGTTGCGCCTTTATCATACTGAGGGTGTAAAGATTCAATGAGGAACAAGGGACAAAGTGAAATTACTCAACTGGATAACTTTGGTAAGTTTTCTGTGCATTTGTGTGAACAGTAAAATTAACTTCTTTAAAAAAATACAAGAGTTGGCATTTCAGCCTTAAAAAGGGAACATTAGCAAACAATTACATTTTCTTAAAGAAGGCTTAACAAGCAACTGCCATTTTACTTCGTAGCTATGTCAATTTTTTTAAAACCAAAGACAGATCTTATTGAATCCTTTTTAAATAACTAGGCAATTCAAAGAATCTTTAAAGTTCCAACCCATCTATCGAGCCATGCATTTAAAAAAGCACTAAGTACAGAGGGGTTTCGGAACACTTATCAAAGACATCCAAAACTACAATTATCCTGAATCCAGGATCACACCTTCCCCTTCTTTCATTGACAGACTAGTTTCCTTCTAATCCTCTCTATTCAATTAGGTTTTAACTCCACACCGCTCTTCACATCTCTTGACTTCACACCACCTGAGTGTTAATATTGTAACGCCCTCGCCTGGTGGTGAGGAGGAAGCGCCTCTAGGCTCCTAGTACCGCTGGGCATGCTGGGAGTGGTAGCCAGGGAGAGTCTGAGGGTTAGCACGATGACCAGCGGCTGTGTTGTTAAGTAATTACCACCCTAAAGATGTGTACGTGTTCTGTCAGTCTCCTCATGGGTGTGTATATCCTGTGTTTGGTTTTTATTTTTGTTAACTAATAAAGCTAGCGCTTGGTTTGTTAATCGCGTCTCAACTGGTCCTATTTTCTGAAAATAACCTGTAAACGCTACATTGGTGTCAGAAGCGGGCAGGATGGACAAATCGTGGCAGACACTAGTCGATTCTTTTAAGCGCCGGCTGACTCTAAAAGAAACAGAACCCATCTGCAGTGCACATAGGGAGCCTGAGCAACTCCTGGGTGTGACTCAGTAGTACCAGGGCTACTCAGTAGTGGTCCCGCCGGTAGAATTGGGGCGACTAGCCGCTACTCCTGGTCAGCGGGTGCCCCAGAGAGAGGATACCCTCCCTGCCGGAGCCGACCAGCGATTCCCATACCCATTGGCGCGGGTGCGACCAGGTCGCTACAATGGGGAAACGCCTTGGGAAACCTACGAGGCGCAGTTCCATCTCGCGGCCCGGACAAATGGCTGGAGCCGGGCAGAGATGGCAGGCCACCTGGCGGTGGCGCTGGAAGGAGCGGCCTGCCAGGTGGAGGACAGAGGCGAATACACGGTGCTGGCAGCAGCTCTCCAGCTGCGCTTCGGTGTGGAGGAGGCGCCGGACCTGATGCGGGAGAGGCTGGCCCTGCGTAGGCGCCGACCAGGAGAGCGACTGGGCCCGGTTGCCGCTGATGTCATGTTTCTCGCCCGCCGAGGATACCCAAGTTTTCCCCGGGAGGCGCAGCGGGAGATGGCTCTCCAGGCCTTTCTCAAGGCCCTCTCACCCGAGGAGCTGCGGCGCCACGTGCAGCAGGCCGCACCTGCATCGCTGGAGCAGGCCTTGGCCCTTGCTACACGGGCTGAGGCCATGTTTGGGGTGGCTGGAAGCACCAGCAGATGCAGTGTGCCCTACCGGCTGACCGAGGCGGCAACGAAGGAATCCAGTAAGGGGGAAGAGGAGCCAGCCCGTGCAGCAACCCCGGCGGAACAGCCCCGCATGCTGATTTGCAACCGCTGCGGGAAGAGGGGACACCGATGGGCGTCGGGAAACGGGAACGGGGTGGCTCAGTGCGGGGAAGGCCGCCCTTGAACACCTCAACCCCCGCTCTGGAGAGCGCTGTAAAGTCGGCTGTAGCCGGGGCCTGTACCTCTACTGCCAAATTGAGGACCAACCCTGCCTGGCCCTACTCGACACCGGTTCATTGGTAACCCTACTCTGGCCAGGCGTCCTCCCCAACACCGAGGGCACCAACCCCCCAGGATGGGAGACCTCCAGCCTGCGGCTAAGGACGGTGACGGGACAGCTCGCTGCAG